TGCTTCGCAATGATAGGAAGAGCCGATATGGAAGGATCAAAAAGCCACGTCGCCTATGGAAGCTTGGCTGCCACAAGCCAGTTTTCTCATTGGTAACATTTCTGACACCTCTTGTTTGATATAACCAGGATTAAAAGAATCGATATGCTAAGATTTCGCGGTCTGTACTCTTGCTGATAGTCAAGATGAAGTTCTGAAAAATCAAGAAAATTGGTGATCAAAAATAAACAAAATTGGAATGAATGATGCGAAAAAATGATCAAGAAACAATCAGGGTTGCGAATCATGCTCAATCAATACACGGACAAAGTTGTGCCTTCTGGGAAAGATATGAAAAATTCGGACAATATATAAGAATGCACAGAATTATCTCATTTTCGAAAATGGATCACAAAAACTGCATAATCAGGTCAAAACTTTGATTTGAAAACTCCGGTTTCGCTGAAAATCCATTAAAAAAAATTGAAATTAGAAAGTTTGAATAGTTCAAGATTGCTGAAAGCACATTACGCGTTTTTCTACAGAAGACCAAATTTGATCTACCATACATTTTTTTGTATATTTGGTATTCTGAGACTTCTTAATTTCAAAGATTTCCATTTTTGAACTCGGGAAAACTATATATATTTTTATGGACATTAGAAACTTTTCAAAGGGATTCTAGGAACTTTTTACCTGAAAATTAGAATTCAAAATTTTTAATTTTTGCATTACTGAAATAAAAGGCTAGCATTGGCAAAAAAACCGAATTCAAAAAAAAATAGAATTCCCCAACCCGTCCACTTTGAGATCAATTATCTCGATTCCTGTGAAAGATATCAGAAACTTGTCAACTGATAAATTATTTATCTTAAAATCACTAATATTTCGTCAGTAGACAAATTTTCGATATCTTTCACAGGAATAGAGATAATTGAGCTCAGACTTGACAGTTTGGGTGGGCTTCTATTAGAGCATCTACTACAGAATTTCTGAAGTTTGCTCTCAACAAAGTTTCAAACAAATCTATTACCAGAATTTTTTAAATTACAGTTTTCTTCTGATTTTGGCCAAATTATAATAGTAGCTTATTCAAAACTATGAAAAAACCGGTAGAAAAATTACGTAGACCGGAATTGAGCGAAAAAAAAAACTAAGCCGTTTCCCAGGGAAAATATTTTGATTCCGTAATTGGTGTGATCAAAAAAAAAGCTGGCTGGAAAACGCCTCCCAGCGAACCTCGAAATTTCGCTAACTTCGCTGCGGAATTTCGTTGGCTGAGTATAAAAGTTTTAAGCGATGAGCGAAAAATGCGCGCAATGATTTGATCTATTAATAATAAATGGATCAAATTGATTTGATCTATTAATAATAAATAGATCAAATCTGCGTCCACTTCAAAATTATAAAATTTCTTCTGGTCTACGAGTTCGCCGGGGCGCTATTTACGGCCAAGCTCCCTGAAACCCCGTGCAGAAGTTAATGTAAAACTGTGTGATTGTCAGATCTGTCTAAACCACATCTGATCATCTTTTTTTATTCTTTCTGCTTCTGGAATTTTGATTTCTAAGCATTTCAGAGAAGAAGCTCTGAGCGGAAGCGACGGTATATGATCAACGCAATTTGGTAAAGTGATTGTCCGAGATAAACAATTAAGTGTGTAACACGACTACGACTACGACCAAACTAACCGGAAAAATGAGATCCCGAATGAAAATATCCAAAGTTTGTAAACTGCTCGTCTTCTAACCTGTTATAGAAGGGCCCAATACTGTAAAGTTTGTGCTCAATTATCTCGACTTCTGTAAGAGATATGAAAAATGTGAAAGCTTTTAAAAACTTCGTGATATCATGGTTAACAATTTACCAGTTGACACCTTGTTTATATCTTTGATAGAAACCAAAATAACTTGGCTCAAAGTTAAAAGTCAGGAACCCTTCTATTACAAGTTTTACGGTGAGAGTTGTGGACATTTTTCTCCTTCAGAATTGTATCTTTTCGCATTCATAATTGTTTTTACTGCAAGATACCGTATAACTTTCTAGAAGGATCCGATACTAGTTGCTTGATGATGCCTAGCCTCTTAATCGGTTATTTGCTCTACCAAATATTTAATAATTATCATAGATCATAGAATTATGATCATCAATTTTGCATAATTCATGCATTTTTTTCCCAAGTAGTTTGAATATTAACCAGACCCCGTTTTTTTGTTCCTATTTATTCTGGTGAGTCCATTTGCAGAATTGAGTTTTCATTCTAAATACAATAGATACAACGCTAGAGACGTTTTTTTGAATATGTGATTTTCTCCTCGAGAAAAGCTGCTTTCGTTTATTCATAAGTAGTAGCCATATGAAAAAGAGAAAGAATGAAGAGTAGAGCCCAAAATAAAAATAATATCAGTTCAAGAAGTCATGAGAGAAATGGATAATCGTCAGACAGATGAAGAAATGGCACGGTTAAGTACATTGAGATTGGCGATCAATTGAGAGAATGAACTCGAGATTAGACTTGTCTTGCGTGATGGTGTTGACATATTCGCTGTCATTGCTTGTGTGTCGAGTTTTGAAACGAATGAGATTAGTGAGATGAACACCTGTAAATAAGTTGTTTATAAATAAGTTGTTTATAATCGAAGGGTGTTTGCAAGCGCTAAAAATTGGATAATTTAAATTAATTGTGTTTTGATTCCAGTAGATCAACGCTTAGTGTTGGCCAATGTCAGCTGAAAATTCTAGAATGCTGAAGTTTTTAATCTTGGAACTTTCGTTGCAAAATGTGACATCAAATGTGTATGAAAATTTCTAAAGCATTACAATTCACAAGTCCTCTTTTCCTATTTCCGATGAAAAAATATAAGATGGTCTGTGATAATCTAGCTAGAAGTTAAGATAGTATTTTGAAAGGTTCAGACTACAAACTAAGGTTCGATTTGTGTTTCAGTTTTTTTTTTTTTTTTTGAAAATTATAGTTTATCGATCAGTTATGTATTTTTCACTACAAATTTAAAAATTTGTATTAACATTCCTCGAGTACAGTAGGCTTGAAATTTTGCACATTTGCCCATTTTTCTGATTTCAAACAAACCTGTGGGAGTTCCTTGCTGAGTAATTCAGCATTATAAACCAGGTTGCTGGATTTCAATTGATGAATGGCAGCGGAAAGAGAATGAGAAGCTGCCACGATTTCAGAGAGAAGAGACCGAACAGTTGGACATGATTCCGAGTACGTTGGCAGTCTGAAAATAGGCATTTGTGGGGATTTTAAAGGGGATTGTCAATCCATAATCATTTCCATTGTATCTCTTCATGTACTTCACACTCTGTTTCAACTCTCTGTCATCCTTATGCCACGTCACAACTGGTGGAGATGAGGCGATAACTCTGCAGTAGAAGTTGGCAGATTGTCCTTCGGCGACTTCGGTTCCATATGGCTTGACAATGAATCTTGGCTGAGCTTCAGATCTATCCCAGAAGGCGTCACGGATTGAATACTCTTGGGGTCTGTGCTTTCTTAATGAAGAATAGTTGGAAATTC